CGCAGGACAGAAGAGAGGGTGCGCGGCCGTGAGGAAGCCCTGGCCTTCCGCCCTCCCACCCCAAGAAACTCCAGAGCCGGAGCGGGGAGCGAGGCTCGGCCGCCGCTGCGCACACACTCGGCGTCCGCCGGCGCGCACCCGGCCACTTCTCCGGGCTGTCTCGGAGAAAAACGTGTGTGCACCTGCCCAGCCCCGGCCCCCAGGCGAACTGCCCTGACGCCGATGGCGGGGGCTTGTTTGGTTTGGCGAGATTTTCCCCCTCAGTGTCCAACTCTTACCGCTGCCAGGAAAGGGTGGGTTGCCAAGTAGGACGGCGGGCAGAGGGCTCCTTCAGGTTTCTGCGCTGGAATCACAAGCCGAGAGGCATCGCTGCCTGGCGTCGGTGTAGGGAGAAGCCACTGGAATGGGCAGCAGCAGCGGGCGGAGCCGGGGGACTTGTTTGCTGAGGCTTTCGGCTTTCGCGTTGTTGTGTTCAAAAGTTTGTAGACGCACGGAACTAGAAGGGAGCGCGATGTGGAGAGCAGGAAGGGGGCGAGGAGCGAGAGAGAAGAAAGAGGAGGCGACTAGCTAAGGGGAGGGGGGAGCAAAGTGGCCGAAAGTCCACTGGGAGACGAGAGCGGGGCGAAGAAGGGGAAGATGGAAAGTCCAAGGGGAAGGAGAGGGAGGAGAAGGAAAGGCCGGCGAGCTCGGCCGGCCCGGTGGAGCCCCCGGGCCAGGCAGCTGGAGGCTGGGCAGCAGCAGCGCCTGATCTGCTCTGAGGCCCTTCTGGCTGCGTCTGGAGATGCGGCTGCTGCTGGTGCTGCCGGTGGTTGCAGAAGTGACCGGCCTTCCGCTGGTGTTTATATATGCAGTTAGCAAGAGTCTACCCGAGCATGGTCTTAGGAGCGTCCTCTTTGTCAACATCTGCCTGCCTATTGTCTTTAAGTACAGAATATTTTGTTGCACCGCTGCGCTCCGATTTTTATTCATGAAATGACTTCCCTTTTTTTTTTTCAGTCACGTAATGATCGGGTATCAGAAAAAAGACGTCAGCATCCTAGTCCCTCAAGGAATGTATTAACTATTCTGTGCCATCCTCCAGGATGATAAGATCCGGAGTCATCGACTTCTCATAAACACCTTTCACTCAGACAATCCAATTTTTAGGAAGTCCAGTTATTTTGATGGTTTCCAATTTCACCCATTTATCAAGGGCAGGTAAAGAATTTGTTTCCAGAATGGTAAAAAGTCATCCTTTTTAACCACATCCACCCTGTTTCTCTTTACTTTTTCATCAAGCCCCACCACTGAGAGCTGTGGCCTCTGGACTCAAGCACCATGGAGCTCTCCTATTAATAAATTTAATTTGGATCTCCTAATTTCTTGCGTATGTTCTTTCAGATGGACAATTAAACGTGGAAGTCGTTTTGTTTTTAGAGGGAGGCCTTGAAAGATTTTCAGTAAATCTCTTGCGAGTCTAGCTGTCCCTGACAGTCTGGAAAGGAGTACATCGATTAGGGCTCTGTCAGGAGCTGGGCCTGTGGAGCTGTCCCTGTTCTGGGTGCTGAACCGCCTGGGCGCAGATGCTGCAGGCATGTTAAATTGTCACCGGTTTAATTTTCACCAGAGCCTCTAAATCTGAAGATTTGGCAGTGGTGCTGTTAGTGTGACAATTCGTTGTCTAAATCACCCCTCTTTTCCAATCTATCCCCCTCCCAGTGTCTACAAAGGCCCTCCAGTCTCCATACTTGCTTTAGACCTCACTAAAAGGCACTCTGTCCTTTTAGTCCTGGTGTTTGGATCTCCAGATCTCCTGTTTGTACAACCTCACACTTTCTGTGCCTCTTACTGATTTTAAAACTCGAAACTGGGACATTATGTTTTCCACGAGAATTGAAATTGTAAGAATTGGGGGGTGAGAAATGGGCTTTTTACACTTTCTTTACAAGTTAAATTCTGTTTGGGGAAATATAGGCAGACTGGGAACGCAGGATCCCCAGTACAAGTTCCTTTGCTGAGGGTTCCTAACGGGAATCCCTCCCTTGGGAATGACTAAATTATTTTAACTGAAAATGACGTGGGAAGGAGAAAGCAATGGGGGAGGACCTTATCTGCCCTAAACCTTACAAGTCTCCAAGTAATTTCTAAAAGAGTTATAAATAGGTACTCCAGTAAAAGATCTTGGGTCTGTTTCTTCTAAAAAGGAAATAGACTCATCAATAACCATTAGCATACATTTTAATTATTGGATCTCACACAAAAATTAGAAGGAATGTCAATTAACTGAGAGTGTTTCCTGTTACTATGATTTGGATCTAGCACTTCAATAAGCAATGTTCGTTCTGAATAATTTTTCCAAGCCCCATTTCTCTTTCCCAATGGCTTTCCCGCTCTTTGAGATGAAATACTTCCTGCAAGAAGGAAACGTTTTGCTAATTCTGTGAAGGACCCCAGACTGCCTGCCACTTCTTAGTTTCTCACTCGCCTGCCCTCAGTAATGCTCCAAACCACAGCGACAGGAAGTGTACATCTTTGTCTCTGCTGCACATGTCTGCAGATCTATGTTGCAGTGTTTACACGGGTGTGTTGTGTGTTCCTGTTCGGCTGTGCCTCTGCGCACACACAAAGAGCCTGCAGTGAACTGGACCAGACCGGCAAGCTGAGACGCCTTTCTTACTAAAGCGCCCAAAGCTATTACCTGCTGTGGCTTTCCTGTCTTCCGCCTCTCGTCAAAGGTGAACCCCATTAAAAATCCTCTTTCCTCCCACACGAATTCCGAAGAGAGTCAACCCTAGAGAATTATTTGAAAATTTCCAAGACTCCTTCTGAATTCACCCTCAACTTGAGTAAAGGGAGCCACCATGTGGGGAGTTTGTTGACTTCACAGCCTATTAAAGGGGAAAAGCACAAGCCCTAGTGACTGCCTGGGGGAGAAGCTGGTGGCTCCCAGGCCCCCCGAAGCGGGTACTGTTCCCCTGGCTGACAAAGGCTGTGCTACTTGCTCTTCTGGGCTCAGGTATTCTCAAGGCTCCAAAGTCACCAGCCTTGAAGCTGGACCCCACTCACTGGAGTAAAAGACTATGTAGAGAACTTGAGGTTTTCCTCGGTCCCTGAACTCCAGAACACCAAGACCTATCCTGTCCCCTGGCACAATCTGGAGACCATCCCAACCCTGCCCCATAGCTGCCTCTGGGCCTCAGCTCCCAGCAGGATCAGCCCACGGAGGTTTCTCCTTGCCACCACCTGGTGGAGAGGCTCTTTCCTAGTCTTGAAAGTTCTGGCCCGAAGTTAGGGGGTCCAGGAGAGATGGGAGCTGTGAGAAAAGAGGCGCTAGGAGCTGAGCATTGGCTAAGGGAGCCCAGAACTGGGGAGTCTGAGGCCCCCCCCACCCTGCCTCACTAAACCTCCTAGGAAAAGGAGAGTGCGGGCCCTTTCTGCTTTCTTTTGGGCAGAGAGTGAAGTCTCAGGATCCAAAACTACACACGCACACTCCCCCTCCAAAAGACAAATTTGCTTCTAATCTGGGGAGACTCAAGTCTTTCGCTGACTGACGCTGCCTGGGGGGGGGGCTGAGTCTGGGTGCCCCCAGGGCAGCAAAGGGGGAATGATCTGTGTACCCGAAACACCAGGCTTAAGCCCGCATCAACTGGATGAGTAGCTTCAGGGAGAAGAGGACCAGAGGACCCAGTAGGAAACCACAGCCAGGCACTTGTTAATTTGTGCCTTAAAGAGTAGGGTGGAGTCTGGGTCTCAAAGCACCTTTCTGAAGAGAAGAGGCCAGAGGAGGAGGGAGAGGAGGATGGGGAGAGGCAAAACAAGGAGAAAGAGCCTTCTAAATTTACTTTGTTCTTGCCTAGCTTCTCTCCCAAAGGGATTTTTCCATCCTCCTATGCTGACCTCCAGGTCACCTGTATATAATTTTTTAAAAGATGTATGGGTGAGTGGATGGGGTTAGAATTTTCTATTTTCAGATAACACAAAAGAATTTCAAGTCTTCTTTCCAACACCCCCAGTCCTTCGCCCCAACCTTTGCAAGAGGCCTTCCCAGGCAGGCAAAATTTCCCTCCAGACCACCAGAGCAAAGACTGTTGCTGGCTGGAATCATATTCCATTAGAAAAGTTAGAGGAACCAGGGAGACCTTTGGATTGGGAGGTCCGCGTTCCCCTGAGTCAGAGTGACAGAAGCCGCCTGGGGTAAAACCCTGACTTACCAGTAAGAGGTTGTCAGAAATATTTGTTGGAAATCATGAAAACCCTTGACTTTCAAGTCCCTAATGCCTCACCTCCTTTTATTCCATTAGTCTTTCCGATGTGAAAACAATTCTTGATGGGAAGTGGTGAATGCTAACTAAAAGTCAAATACCACTTCCTTGAATTGTTTTTCCCAATACATTTGCCTTTCTGATATTCAGACCTTGAGCCTTGGATGAACACTTGATTCAAAGAAATCTTTAGCCTTGGAAGACGTATATTTTTGTGTTCAGATAGGAGAAATACGTCTAGAATATTTCCTGCGAGTTGGAATTTACAGGTGGATTCGCTGTGCTAGCAAATGCTATGGCAGTTGTATTGTGTTGTCTCTCCCAGGATCCCACTCTCTGAAGCATCTCCAATCAGAAAAGCTACAGCTACATGGGAATCTCCATCTGCTCCTTCCTTGCAAATCAGCGGTGAGTTGTGTGATTTGGGGCCATTAAGCGGATCTGTGAAATGGAACACTCATGAGCAGATTTCCACTGCACTCCTCTGACCATGGTTTCCACATATCAGCTTCCCTTTTCTTGGCTATTCAGGGTTCACGTTGCCCTTTACCACCACTATCTCCATGTGCCACCCCATCAGATTTTTTAAACCATATAAAAGCACAGGTATAGCCTGGCGCTGCGGCGCACGCCTGTAATCCCAGCACTTGTGAGGCTGAAGCAGGAGGATCACTGAGGTCAAGGCCAGCCTGGGCTACATAGTGAGACCCTGTCTCCAAAAAAACAAACAAAAAGGACAGATTTGCATAAAGCATTCTCAACTATTCCTAATGTAACTCATACTAAATCAAGACTGGAAAAATCAGGAAGTGTGATTCTGTTCAGTACCAGCTCAGCTGATCCTCTTTGGTGAGCAAGCTCACCAAGCAGCATCATCCTTACCTCAGGACAACAAAAATAAATTATAACTCTGTATTCAGTTTCACTCTAAACTTTTCCTCTTCTGACTCTTCCAGAAATTGTGATGACTAATGGCTCACTTCATCCCGGCGACACCTGTAGGGAAACCCAAATGTTCTGCCCTGGAGCATCGCGCCACCGCTGACTGGACCGCCTGCCTCATGCGCTCCTGAACTCACCCTGAAGTAACGAGGGATGATGGATCCGGCATGTGTCACGGCTGCTCTGACCTTCAGAATGCACTGCCTCACCACCGCTCTGAAAACAAGCAGGAGAGGAAAGCCAGAAAGCCATCCAAACCACGAGAGCAGAGCAGCTCCCTCTGATCCGAGCCCAGAGCTGCCTATTCACAGGGCCAAGGGATTTTCTCGGTTGTTTGCAGATACAAAACAGACATCCAAGAAACAAACACCAGGATGTAAACTGTGCCAGGCTTTGGGTGATTTCAAGCAGCACATACATGTGAGTCCTCCAAAGCCTAATTTTCCAAATGTCAGCTTACTTGTGAATAAAATATATATTTTAAACTTCACTGCCTGGCATCTGCCGAATTCTACGGACAGAAGTTCCAGAACATCTCTTCTTAACGTCCTCTCAGTTCAGTCTAAATCCTCTGCTCCTGGAGGGCTTAAATGAAGGAGGAAAAGCTTACAGAATTTCCAGGAAATCCCATATCCTGAATGTGTTTCTGAGACAGCTGTGGAAAATGTTGAAAGAGGGATGCCTGTGTAAAATAAAACGAGGTTTTTATGTGCAGATCAGAAGAAGATTTTGCTCCATGAATTCATATCAGCCCAAATCTCTGCCCTCTGGGCTCAGTCTGTATTTACAATACTTTTGTTTTTCACTGTCCCTCTTACTAGCTCTGCCCCTAGCCGCCTCAATGTGGGGATTGAACCTAGGATCTCCACTTGCCAGGCCAGCATTTATACCTGAGCTGTAAACTCATCCTACACAAATACTTTTAAAGTCATCATCTTCCTCTAAATATATACAAGCTTGATTTTCTTTGAACCTTTCACCTGCACGGAATGTGATTAGGTTTGTCATGAGTTACTACTTCAATTTTTAATTATTATTTCTTTATTTTTAAATCTTTTCTTTCAAAGGAGCCACATGACGTAGCTACTCCCTCCCCAGATGATAATAGCGTAGGCGATAACTATTGAGGGAATGTATCACGCCACGTGTTTGAACAAGGGCTATTCCCGCTCACAACAATCTGCCTCGTAAACACTCATATCCCTTCCATTTTACAGGTCAAAGCTGAGGCTCGGGCCAGGGATTTAGCTCAGTGTTTTTGCCTCCTGACTCACAAGCACAAGGACCTGAGTTCGATCCCCGGAACCGGAAAAAAAAAAAAACTGAGCCTCAAGGAGTTTAGTAACTTACCTGAACTCAGATTTAGTGTCCAGTGACTCCCACAAGTTTTATTGACCATAGTATGTTAGGCTGGTTTACATATATATTGTCTTTGGGGCTGTTATAAATATAAATTACTAGTTAAAATCAGCTTTAATCTGTGACTTGACTCAACTGGGAAGAAAATCTGTTTCTTATTGATTTTCCAATTAAAAATCATGTTTAATGTAATGGAAATCAAATGCCATTAGCACAGTTGAAACCGGCTAAGTTAGACTAAACATCACAGAATAGCTATGCTTCTTTTAAAAGGTACATTAATAGTACACCACATGTTGTCACTGAAGTATGCCGAATTGTTTAAGAGGTCAAAAATATTGTTGTGCCAAGTCATTTAAAAATGATTTCATACTTCAGAATTCAGCAAAAGTTTTAGTGATGTGTTTAAGTATAAAAAAACTCAATACTTTTAAACTCATCCTTTAATGTCCATTATATCATCTTCGTATCTTATTAAATCATCATGTAATTCAATACCACAGAAAACGTGATTGCCAGTGAGTCAAGACTTTGTGAGTCAAGTAAGATGATGTATATAAAAATGTTTTACAATAATAGATCCTAGACTGGTAGAAAGGAAGGGAAATCAACATTTATGAAGCTCCTTCTTTGGTACCAATGATATTATCTGCATTAGCCAACACTTTTTTTTTTGTTTAATCCTCTCATTGCCCTGTGAGATAGGTTTGGGATTAATATTGCTATTTTTATTGATAGATAAACTGGGAATCTTTTTTTCCACTAAAAAGAGTTTATTTATGAACATAAGACCCAAAACTAGGGGAGCCCAGGAATGAGGCCCCAGCAGCTGCCTGGAGTCAGCGCAGACTACCCCGGCTCCCTGCCTTACTCTACCGCGCACCCTGCTGGAGGAAGGACTGTGCAAGGCCGACAATGGGCACCATTATTATGATCATAACACACTGAAATTGTCCAAGTTTGCCCAGCAAATTGTGGCACAGTGGTTTGCTGTGAATGAAAAGAATTATTCCAACAAGCACAATGACCATGCCAGGTTTGCACCCAGCCTCTCCGGGCGGGCGGAAATGTGACAAGATAAAACAGCCGGGAGGGAGGCAGGTCTCGCTGGGAGTCCCATGCCAGCCTCCCTGACAGGCCTATGAAAAGGTGCCAGCTCCCTTGCTTCCTGCTCTCCCCACCCCCACAGCCATTGGCCAAGGTTGGAGTCAGGCCGGAGCTGTCCGAGGAGGGACTCATGAGCTCCCCCAGTTCTCAAAGTTCCTCGCCAGGCGGGTCCCTCTACCACAGCCCCCTTTGGCGAAAAGGCCATGAACCCACTGCTGTGGTAAAGGCACATTCCTGGAAGGGTACATGTGACGCCCATTAGCTGAGGGCGCTGAGGTGGCTGCCACACAGGAGCAGGCAGGTGAGGCTGCCCACGAGGGAGAGGTGCCCCTGCCAGCAGCCACACCATTGCCAGTGCCACACACCTGCCTGTGCCACAGCCACTAAGCCAGCCAGGGCTCCTGAGGACCTGGGGGCTTCGGGAACCCCTGGGGGAGGGCCCAGCTATTGGGGCATTTCCAGTCACTTCTGCTGCTTCAGCTGAGGTCACCCTGCCTTCGTGGTGCCACAGAGGACAGCGGGCATGCACACCAGTGGGGTCGGGGCAGGAGTCAGGCTCCCAAGTGATCAGCTATGGGCCAGGCCAGACCAGGCCAGACCCTGGTTCCCCAACCTTGGGCCAGTCTCACGTGAGGGCACCGATGCCCTTCCAGGCCCGGCCAGCAGAAGTCCCGAAGCTGAGCTGACCGTGTTCCACGGAACCCTCAGAGCGGAGGTCCTGGCTGCTGGGGAGCCAGGAACGCTGGTGTCCAAGCCCGGCCTGGGGAGCTCGGCAACCTGTCCTGGTCCTCCCCAACCACTGTCGACGCTCTGCTCTTCGAGGGGCTCCTTTTTCCTTCGTCCCCAGGCCGTGAGAGTGGAGGCCGAGATTCCCGGAGCTCCTGCGAGCTCAGGCCACTACCAGGCCTCGTGGAGCTGAGTGCTCTGCACGGGCTCTGAACTGGGAATCCTGAAGGTTAATTAACTTGCCCACAGCCCACAGTTAACAAATAAAAGAATCAAATTTCAAACCCAGGACCAACTAACTACTGCCAAATTCAGGGCGCTTTCTCCTGCCATTTGACCTGTTATTACTACAGAATTACCACTATTTAAAAGGGAGAATAAGCACAGTTTTTTTTAAAGCACATGATTACCTAACAAAACAGCCTGAAGGCCCTGGTTTTAACGATTGTTCTTGCTTTTTCCCTGACATTTTAAAATAAATGCAGTTGCAGGGACAGATGAATATCATTTTCGATAACATTTTAAGAGAAATAACTAGTGAATAAGTTTCACTCACAGATTTTTTTTTTTAAGGGCATAAAGTTGCAGCAATTAAAATAAGGTGGTACTGGAGCCAGGGATTTAGCTCAGTGGTTCCGCTGCCTGTCTCACAAGCACAAGGTCCCAAGTTCAATCCCCAGTACCAAAAAGCAGAAATAAAAAACAAAATAAAATAAGGCTGTATTGATGAAATAATAGATCAAATGAATAAATACATCAAAGTATATACAGATAGGGCTGGGGATTTAGCTCAGCAGTTCAGTGGCCTGCCTTGCAAGCTCAAGGACCCGAGTTCAATCCCCGGTACCAAAAAAAAAAAAAAGTATATACAGATAAAAAATTAAATACTAGTATCCAATTTCCAGTGAAGTCTAGAGTACTGGGATAACTGACTATCCTTTTGGAGAAAGAAAAACAGTAGATTTCGACTTTATATTCTACAACATTAAATATATCCAAATGGATTAAAGAAATAAATAAAAAAGAAAACCACAAGAATACTAGAAAAAATATAAATAATTGTAGAATTACAAAAGAAATATTAATATTTGTAACCAAAATTTAAGCATAAAGGAAGAGTTTGATAAATTAACTAAAACTTTTTTTAAAATTTTCTCTATGTTAAAAGAAAATCCATAAGCCAGGTATAGTAGCCACATCTGTAGTCTCAGGTACTTGAGAGACGGAGTCAGGAGGATCACTTAAGCAGCAGAAGTTGAAAGCCAGCCTAGACAAGGTAGAAAGATCTTATCTCGGGCCAGGGATTTAACTCAGTGGTTCCAACACCTGCCTCACAAGTGCAAGGACCCAAGTTCAATCCCTGGTACAAAAAAAGAAAAGAAAAAGAGAGAAAAAAAGAAAAAGATCTTATCTCAAAAAAAAGAAAACAAAATCTACAAATAAATTTAAATGACATACATGTAAGCTTGAGGGAAAATAGTAGCATCATTAATGAAAAACAAAGAATTCAATTTTCAAAATATGAAGAGCATTTATCCATAAAGTACAATCACACATAAATTTGAAGTTGGTAAGAGTCATGAACAAGGGCTGGGGATTTAGCTCAGTAGTTCTGCCACCTGCCTCGCAAGCTCAAGGTCCTGAGTTTGAGCCCCAGTGCCAAAAAAAAAAGCTGGTGTTAAAAGTCATAAACAGGGGCCAGGGATTTAGCTCAGTGGTTCGGTGACCAAAAAAAAAGTCATAAACAAGCAATCTATAAAATTAGAATGGTCAATAAATTCACAGAAATATCTTCAAGAGAAATTTTCCATTTTCCAAATGGACAGGCAATCAGGCCACAGTATCCTCCTCTTTTGTTGGAAATCACAGAATAGTGTTTATTTCTTTTATTTATGTATTTTATATTTATGCCTTTGACCTACTAGAGGTAGCATGAATGATCAAACAAGTATAAATTAACATATATAGAAAGAGAGACAGATGTAGATTTATACAGAATCTGCGTGAAAAATATCATGATGTTATTTCAACAGTGGTGTTAGCCTCGTATGGGGGACCCGAACCCACAACACTGCCGGCCCTTAGGGAAGAGATTGAAAATGCATATGCAGCCGTCTCGATGACCAACTCCCCCAAGCATCAGTTCACCATACTAGTAAACGTCTGGAAGCTCATGGCCACCGCTTTGAGCACCTTTGGTCATTGTAGAGGCCAAAGGTCACTCGTATTAATCTCATGATGCCTCAATAAATTTAGTTTTAAAATATTAACATGAGTTTTTCTTTTTCCAGCTGACGCTGTATATATATATATATATATATAATATATATATATATATATACTTACCACTATAGATATTTACATAGATAGGGAGGG